GATCTCGTACCAAATTTTTGTCCATTTGTTCTTGTTCGATTTCGTGCAATTCGTATAATCCTAATGTGCACTCGCAATACATAAAAAAAATAATATTAATTTTTCATAAAAAATTATAAATAATAATATTGAAAAACCGGCTATATTTTTCATATAATTTGACATGTTTGGTTACTTTGTTTATTTCATAACACTAAATATAATATTTAAACACCTAATATTATTCGATCGATTAACATAATTAATGTTTACACAACATGCATGTTGTTTTATAAGGTGCGATATGGTGTGTCATAAGGTGCACCGTATTGTTATATAAAGTGCAATACTGAAATTTTAGTATGATATCAATTGACGTTTACATGCAACATGTTGTTTTATAAGGTGCGACATGTTGTGTCATAAGGTGCAACATATTGTTGTATAAAGTGCAACATATTGATATATAAAGTGCAATACTGAAATTTTAGCATTTTAGCATGCTTGTGTTTTTTTCGTGTACAAATGATGTGATGTATATTAAAGTATTATATAGATCCGTTTTTTTTTTAAATTATATTATGTAAGATTTTGTGATGGGAGTTGTTGACATTAATTGTGCAGTATGGTCATAAAGTGCAATGTGTTGTTTATAAAGTGCAACGATCTGTGTTATAATGTGCATTGTTTTGATAAATAAGTGTTTTTTTGAAAATTATGTGTGTTTTTTTATAAATTAGATTTAGTAGATATAATTGTACATCAAATTATCCTAAATAATTGAAAAAAAAAATATTAATCATTATAACAATATATTATATTATTGTAATATTTTTTATAAATATAATTTTTCAAACTAGAATTTTATCAAATTATTTATATTATAAAAATGTTTTTAATATCTGTGATTCTGTTATTTCATATTTTATATTATTGTTCCTTGAAAAACAATAATGTGCATTCGTAGTCATTCAATCAATCAACTGAATTAATAGGAACATTCGAAATAAATTGTTACTCATGTAATGTGCATTTTATTTATAATTATTATACATTTATTAGGCTTTCCACAAATTATAAATTTAGCACTTGAACCAAATTGAAGTATAATCAAATTTCATGAAATTGCAATTAAGTCCTTGCAATTTATCTAATTCTCAAAAAAAAATTTACTCAAACCCAACTTCCTTCTCATCTACACCACCCACGCGCACACAACTCCACACATATACACACACACACACACACACACACACACACACACACATACCTCTGCTTCAACCACGAAAAAAAAAAAAAAAAAATCACAGCAGCTCCCCGTCGATGGAATTGGCGACCACATCAACGACGCCAGCTAAGGCGATGTGCTCCGGCGAGAATCGGGACGGCAGGTAGGTGCGTCGGAGAGGGTCGCGGCTTTCTCATGTTTGTTGTTCATGGCGATTTCTGCGTTTCTCATTTGAATAAAATAAAATAAAATGAGTATGTATCATGTTTGTCGTGTGTTTGTTTAGTTTGGGATTAAAGTTATTGCTTTCTTCGTGTGTGGCAACTAGGGCTGAGCATGGGACTCGGAGAATTCCGAACTGTTCTGAATATCGAACCAAAATCACTCTGAACCGAAAAATAACCGTTGACTGTTTTGACTTTCTCTGAACCGAACCGAACTGAAAAATAATTGGTATGGTCCTGGAGATTTCACAAATATCCGTACCGAGAACCGAACCGAACAATCCCGTACTGAACCGAACCGAATAACCGAAATTAAGGACCGAATTATAACATTAGATGTGTTATTAATATATTTTATGTCAACTTTGATTCTGTATAATCTATATCTATATAATTGCTAGCAAAACAATTAATAAAACTCTTTTTATTTTCCCGTCTTTTTCTATTACTTTTGCATTAATTACAATTATATTTTTTTTACTTATTTTATTATATAATTGCTACTATTAACTAATAATGAAGACACATTAAATGTTATTCTATTCTAAATCTTTTCTAAACTATATATTTAAAATTGTTATTTTTTTTTTCACCTCATTAAACATGTTTCTTTTATTACAATTAATCAATTATCTTTTATGGCATAACCAAACTTTTTAATCATTTGTACACAAATGATATAATATAATTTCAATATTTTTTTATCCAATTAATTATCATAATTGACTAAGATTGTGTAAATTTAAAGATTAATATGTAGGTTAAATAGTTTATATTTATATCGTCATTATAGTAATGATTAAATTTATAAATGTGATATATTAATTATCTAATTTATGATTTTTATATTTTACATAAAACATATATATATAATGCATAATATTTAAAATTCTAGTTGCATTTGTGCATGTGCAGAGGTAGAATACTAGTATAGTAATAAATATGAACCTTCACTTAAATTTCATGCTTAGGAATATTTGATCTACAATTGAATTTTTTCTATTGTAACATAATTATTTAAAATAATATGAAAGTTTAAAAAATATTTTTTTAAGAAAAAAATATTATATTTTATTTAAATTTTAAATTTTCAATATTAGTTGCAGAAATTTAGTTATAACTAAAATTTAGAGTTACTTATAAAGTTGATTTCAAAATAAAATCTTTAATGTGAGGAAGTAGTGATGAATGTTGGCTTTATTAAAACATATAAAAATTAAATAACTAAAATAGAGTTACTTCTAGAATTGATTTCAAAATAAATTATTTAATATGATGAATTATTGATGAATGTTCTTTTTTTTTTAAAGCATATAAAAATTAAAATGTAACTAGGTAGTCATTCAAAATAATTTAAAAAATAAAAAATCTCCGAAGATCCGAACCAAACCATACCGAACCGAACCGTCTTAGTAGTCCCGAATATCGAACCGAACTGAATCGAAAAATAAAAATTTCCGAACCGAACCGACTTTTTGGTACGGTTCTGGAGATCAAATTTTGGGATCTCCGAATTTTGGTACGGTTCTGGAGATTTATGAATCTCCGAACCATACCGACCCCCGCTGACCTTGCTGCCTGACTTGACTAGCATTGAACTACCTTGCCTCTGCTTTAAAAGACTTAGTTAGAGTTCATTACGGCATTCCCTCAAGGAGTTGCTTGTTGCGCTGGGAAATAAAAGAAATACAAGACATGAGTGGACTGAGCCCTGTTCGAATACGACGAGTAGGATTTAATCAATAAATAGGCGAACCACGAAAGTTGTTAACAGGCTCATTTTCCGTTCGTCGCCCGTTCCCGCCTGAAGTAGAGAGCGCTTCGCTGTAGTAGGTATCAATTCGACCTTTAGCGATCACCACACCGGGACGAACCAGCAAGACACGTTGGTCACATCCTCCTCACCGGTCTCGGGATCGGCAACCAGGAAGGGTTTCAGCCTAGTTGAACCAGATTTCAGTGCTGTGATATGCTTTTGTAGAAGATCTAATAAATCTTCAAAATAAGGCTACACAAAATTTCCATAGTTTGAACTGCCGCCTCTGTACCAACCTATGATTCCGCGGCTTCACCTACGTCTCTGTGTCCCTCGCTCATCCCGCTCGCGCCTCTGTAGGATTAACCCCAACAAACAGCAGGAACTGGAATGGAACGAATTCTTCGACTTGATCAGTTCGTCCCATTGGTAAACGGGTGCTTCAACAGAGTAGGCTACGGTACCTCTGATTTTACCCTAACACCCTTACGGGTATGGACTCACTACTGCCCACCCTTCCTGGTTGTATGGCAATTGGCAAGTGGCATACCAAGGCCTCTTCCAAGACATTTATGTCAAATCACTCGAAGCAGGTATAAAAGGTCTCGAGCCCTAGAGGCTGATAAAATGAGGGACGAATTTTGGGCTGCGTACGATCTAATCTCAATCCCAATTGAAAGGAACACTTCGAGCTGGGAACATTGCAAAGGATGGACCTTTTGGCGCTGGTGACGCTCAAATGTAACCGCCGGTCCTTGAATCCATTAGATTTTCTCAATTATTTCATCCCTGTGCTCTACCCACCGGTCGCCGACTCAGATTCAGTTTTCGCCATTGTTTGGCCTCGCTTCTGGCATTCTGACAGGACACCCGCGTTAAACGTATTCAACTTTTGTGGTTTGATTTGCGATCACTATTTTTTATTTATAATTAAATGTTGTATAGAACAATAATAGTTTTTCTCATATGTCGCCGTAGGTGGTTGCCGCAGTCACTGTGATTGCTGGCGAAGGCGAGGGCATGGAGCTGTCGGACATCCTCCTTGACGTCGAGGCTTGTGCTGGCTGTGAGTCCCAACCCAAAACCCTAGACTCGGCTTCTGGCTCGGGCGAATCTCACCGAGCAAACAACCGGCAGAGATCATCTTAGCAGGGTGTATAGAAAGCTTAA